AAAAAGAAATTAAAGAAAAAAGTGAAATAAAAAGAAAAAGAAAAAGAGACACACATAAATCTTTACTATTTATATTATTTAATTTACTATTCATATTATTTATCATAACAAATATTCTATATTTTCTAGCTATGACCAATAAAAATTTCCATGATTACATGTTTTTGAAGTATTATTATCTTCATCATCTCTCCTATTACGAAAATGCGTCATCTCCTATTAAAGAAATAGGAACAGATGTGCAACATGAAAAATTGAGCAAATAAACAATTATCAGTAATATATGTATGTATAGAAATATTTATAATTAATTTTTGATAACAATATTTTGAAAAATAATTTTATCATATATATATTAAATTCGTATTATTGATTATATATTATAATATTATATCATGGATTAGTGTCAATGATCATTTACAGAATGATCATAACGGATTATATTATAAAATAAACTTTAATTTGGTCATAAAATTTTTCAAAATTAAAAAAAGTTAAATAAAAGAAAAATATTGATGCTAACACAAAACTAAAAATATATACAATAGTCAATATATTATTATTATAAAGTACTTTTGCCTATTTTTTGTAATCTTGACGACATTCGCTTAAAAAAAAATCAATTTTTGTCAAACGACCCAGAGAAAAAATCCTATATATATAAGTTACATAAAGTTATTGTGTATAATTATAATATATAAAATTATATATATTTATGTATAATTTAATTCAGTTATATATAATTATACATATATTATCATATGTATATGTATAATTATACATCTTAATGTATGAAAAATTTCTCACCGAATCATAAAATATATACATGAACATATTTTAATTTTTTATTATAATAATTTTATATGTAATGTTTTTTTACACACAGCTTATATGATTTTATATATATAATTATATATAAAAAATGTAAAATTATTTTAATATTTATTATAAATAGTACACAGCGCCTAAGAAGCGTTAAAAAAGCACTAAAAAAATGCACATAAGCATTTTTTAACATTTTCTAGGCTCTGCTATGCTATTTGGTATTGTTGGAACGTTGCAATGTTGCTGAAATGATATCTATTGTGTATATAAGTGTCGTAGTTGTATATCTATTAATATTCAGAGTTTGTGGATTATCGAAATATTATAAATCTAAAAAATCGATTACAGAAATTAAGCAACGTTAAATGTGGTACAGTAACATAGAATGGATGACCGCTTGGGAGCATAATGAAATTAATTTCTGAATTCATGAGAAAACAGGTTTTTGTATTTTAATTTTGCGTATACTTTGGAACATGACACTAATCAACAATACTCATTTCAGTAATAAAATTATATTAATATAAAGCTTTCGTCTTTCCCACATCGATATATTATCTAATTATATATGGACATATTTTATATACATATAATTAATAACTATTTGTATAAAATTACATATAAAAAATTTTCCAGAGGGTATTTCACATTCTAAAAATATGTACGAATATGTATAAAGAAATCTCTTATTTTAGTCTAGAGATAGCAACATATTAAAAATTCATCGGAAAGATATACTTCTGTATTTCTTTTTTGTAAGATTATGAAAATAATTTTTTATTCTGAGAAATTGGTTATTGTATTTGTCACTTTTTCGTAATGTAAAATATTATGGCACATTCGATACATATTCGATGCATTGATACGATTCTAGTATTGCCCTGACACGGTGCGAGTGAAAAACTACACTGGATTGATTTGACCTTGGTGCAGCATTAAGTTAATGCAACACTAACATATATTACAACTAATGATGGTAAACATAAATATTTTTATTAGAAAAAGTATTTGTTTTTTATCATATATAATTATATAGCTCTTTGTCCGAATATTTATTCACGATGTCCACATAATAATTTTTAACTTTCGGCCTTTCTTCTTTTATTAAACACAACATATATTCCATTTCATCATCACTACTACTTATCTCTAATAATTCATCTATAATAAATAATTTTAGTCTTTCTTTATCCACCATTTTGTAATTTTTTGCTGCCTAACTAGTTCTGTTTGTCCAAACACCAAACTGCACTGATAAAAATGTCAGTGCAATATTTCTTGAACTCGTTTGGTTTATTCGGTTGGTTCGAATACAAATTCAGCACTACAGTAGGTCAATTTTCATTTACCGAATACAGTAATCTAAACGCACTGATACGGTGCGCACAATTCAAATACGTTGCACTGAAAAAGTTGCACTCAGTGCGCACTAGTACATTCTACCGAAATCACCATTAGATTTAAAAATTTACATATACATTTATAATGATCAACATTAATTATCAGTGGATATATGTATCTATATATAAGATCTCATACATATATCAGTGGATCACACACACATATAGCAGTTTACATCCGGTGTTGAATGACTTTTCGGTGAGAATAACAGCCTATCTATTAAGAAGTTTGAATTAAATACTGAAAATACTGATAAAACTGCAAAAAAAAAAAAGGCGTCCTAATCTTAAAAAAATCGGTTCAAAGCCTATTTCAAGAGGAAGAAGAGAAAGAAGAAGAAATTAATTGTAACAATATTAAAAATCTAAGCTATATACAGCAAGCTCGTTTTTATGTTAAAATTTAATAAATTTTTTATTTTTATATTATAATAATATTTTTATGTTTCAATATACAATGGTATGCAAAAGTTTCCGGCCACACAGTGACATTTTGTATTTTAATTTTTAAAAAACCTGATAAAAAATTTTAATTATTATTAGGTATTAGTATAAGATGTGTTAACGAAATCTTATACTAATATTTGATAATGATTAAAATTTTATCAGACTTTTTTTTATAAAATATGGTAAATGTCATTGGTCGGAAACTTTTGTACGTCACTTATCTTTAGAAATTTAAATTTAATTTTCAAAAAAGTTAATTAAACATCGTTTATTAAACATTAACGTCATTATTAGATTGCATTTTCTAGTATTTATTAACAATACTGAAAATTTATGATTTATGTTACATATCTATACGTATACTACAGATTTTTATAAGTATTGGCAGTAACTAATAAAATACAATTTAAAATACAAAGTACAAAATATTTTTCAATACTTTTTGTTTAAATAAAATATTCTTATACAATCAGAAATAATGCGATGTAGTGAATACATATGAAGATAATAGGAAATTAAAGTAACGATAAAAAAAATAATGGCTGAATTTGTCACCGTTAAAAATGTAACGACATCGTTAGAGATAAAAAAATAACGATTGTTACGAAAGAACATGCATTGATAACGATAATTATAAGTAGCGCGTTATTTGTCAATCCTGTCGTCGAGACACTGAGGCACCTGAATACTCAGCCAAGACCTCCGTGTTGATGGGTAGCGACACAGAATCAGTCGGTGATTAGCAAAACTGGTAGTACGCTACTGGTTATACACACAATTGCAAGCTCATGTCCGTGTGCTCATTTTCGGGTAGAAGGGGAGCGCACAGCCATGGGTTCATGCTTGTGTGTGTGTATAGCGTCTCGCCATGGTAAAAGCCTGAACTAATAGGCGTGAAAAAGTGATGTTTTGACGACAAATTTTTTCTTGCGTGCCATTTTGTCAATATTTGCTTATTTGTGAAAATGTGACTTCCCTCGTACTCGTGAAAGTCCTAAAAATTGGCGGAAACTGCAGTTATCGTAAAATTTTATGTTTCGCGTAAAGGATGCACGGCAGTGTCGCGCGCTTGGCTTAGCGCCGAGACACTACCGTGTCTCCAGATACGTAAAAGCGTATATTTCACTCGTTTCATCAACTGTCAAAATGTGTGATTCTGCCCGAGTATAGGCTCACTTTACGTGCCTTTTACGATCATTTACTGACTATCAGAGAAGGAAAGGACAGTTTCCGCCAATTTTCACAAGTGTTTTTGAGCGATCTCGCCTTTTAAATTTATCCAAATTGTCTTTATTAAAAAATGGGATGAAAGAAAAATTAATGTGTTTTTCTCGCCTATGACGTCACAATTCCAACATGGCCGTCGCCGGTATTCAAGAGCCTTACAGTCAATGACAAATAGTTTATTAATCATGTCATTAATCATGTCTTGTTAAGAAAGCGCCAGCCTCAATGTGACAAGTACGTAATATTATTAACGATACTGGCTACCTATTGTTTCAACGACTTACAAAATCGTATCACAAGTACACTTGTTTAATCCGACAGTAAAAGTTATCGAATTTTTTTTACATAAACGATTACTTAAGTGTTTTACACTCTAATTAAAATCATTATTATTAATAACGTATATGTTGCATATTATTGATTGTTTTCCGATTTATTAGTATTTGAAAGTATTTTAGATATAGATATAATTACAATTTTTTTCTGAAAAAAGTAAATAAAGACCAAATAAGTGTTAAACAGAATAAGAACATTAGCTTATTATAGCAGCATAGGTGAGTTTTTAATTCATCAATTAATTAATCTTGTACATAAATATAACCCTTTGTTCTGTAAAAGCTGCATAATGCGATTGATGATTAATTGATAAATTAAAAAATTTGTTTTATTTCTAAAAAATAGAGATTTTAATTAATATAACGTCTTTTTATTGCGAATTGCATGTTTAAAGATTCGTAGAAAATAATGATTAAAAAACAAAAAGAAAATATATTAAAAAACTATATTTTACAGTAATTTGTATTTTTTCGTCACTAAAATGTGAAAATACTTAAGTGAAAATATTTAAGTTAAATACATTCCCGAGTTATAATAAATTACATAATTTCTTTATTTTTTTTTAACTGTAACACATTTGATGCTTCGACACTTTATAGGATTCCAGCCCTAAAAACTCAAAAGGTAAATTGATACTATTGTCACAGGTGGCTCCTCACAACAATGTCAATACGGTTCAAATGATCGAAAGTCACACTTAATTAATTAATTAATTAATTAGGCAATAATCGCGCAATATATTACTTTCGACAAATGGATACATACGTCAAGCATACACAATCCCACTTCTGAAACCGGAAAAAGAAAAATTTGATTCCAAAGAAAAGCAAATTCTCTATAACAATCTTTACTCTTACGATGCTAATGCTTTCATAGCTCGCTAACGACTGCCTATACTATTTAACAACAAGTCTAACGGACGATACTATAGTGTCACTGGTGCGACAAAGAAACTTATACGTAATGAATCGTATCTCAAACGATGAAAGTGCGTTTTTATTTCTGAAATTCTACAGTTTACGTAATATAAACTATACTATAGTATACTACATCGTTGTAAGTGCGCTCTGGAATACGAACCAAAATACATATATACTCTCAAATGAAAATTAGCAAAATTTCTCTTAAAATGTCAGTAAAACTTCTGTTTTAGAGGGAATCTTGCATTTGATCACCTTAAATTAAATATCATTTTAGAAATATTTATATTTCTGTAAAAAGAGAGAAGTCAACGTTTTTAGAGACATCAACGTCATATAAGTATAATCGTGATATTTTAAGGTATATCCGAACAAACACCCGAAAATATAGAATAATTTGAAAATTTTTTGTAGTTAAATAATAAGTTTGTTACAAATTCGGTTTGAAGACCCTTAATGTATATATATTAAACTATACGAAATAATTTTTGTTTTATTTTTTGCTTTATGGTGGTGGCGCTAGAGCTCTACAAGTGACCCTACTTCTTTTTCCGTTTATGCTTGTAACATAATTTCAATGTCTAGTTCAGAGTGCAGACTGGATGCAGCAATTAGCTTCAAAGAGCGGAACAACAACCAATCAGCGTAAAAAAACGCCCCATTACTCTGATGTTTAATGCTAATTGCTGCGTTCAGTCTAAACTAGGCATAATCAATTTTTTAGTTATAAATACTTTTTTATTATTATAAATTTTTTCAATAAAGATAAAACCATATTTTCAAATATTCACCATTCTACAAAAATTAATATTATAACATATACGTCTGTACTTCTCCAGCAAATTTAATGTAAATTATACAAAAGTTTTTGTTTTTAGTGAAAATGTATAACTTCTGTTGCATGTTGGTGAGGTCCATGAAAAAAAGCAGTCTTGCTGCAAGCAGCACTTGCAGAACTCCAGCACCGCAAGTATCTTGACGCAAAAAATTTAAACAAAAATTATTTAGTGTAACTTAAGATATGCGCATTAAAGGCCTACGAACAAATTTCCACTTATTTTATTATTTAACTACAAAAATCTCCCAAAATTATCTATCCCTTTTCAATTGTTTACTCGGATTTAATTGTAATATATATGATAGTATAAGCACAATTATATTTACAATTACGTATATATTTAGAATTATAATTATATTACAATATTATAATTAATATAAAATAAAAATCTGCAATTAAAAGTAATTATGATTATTTCAATTGTAACAATGATTTTATGTGTGTATAAAAACTTGAGAAACAGCGAAAGAAAAACGTTCAATAGAATGATGCAAGAAAGCAAAATACAATTTGGTAACTTATTTTCTTACTTGTATCATTTGTTTAATCTTTTAAACTTACTTTTTTTATGCATTTTTATGGTCCATAATTTAGAAAGTCGACCTTGTTGATTACGTGCCGCCATTGATGTTAAAATGGAACTTTTACTTGTAAAACAAATTAATACGTATGATCATCATCTTTGAGTTGCAGATAATTTGTTCCGTCTCATTACGACAGAGACTTATAGAATCTTGTAGTTTAATGAATATTTTGAAAATTAAAACACTAACACTATACAATTTTTCTCATTACCGTTCGTCGTATCGTTTTGATTTAATAAGCAAACGCATCGATTATGTTTTATTAACGATTTTTATCGCTGTTCTTTTAACATGTTTTTTCACTTTCCTTTACAACGTTCTTTTATCGATATGCGGCACTTTTCAACATATAACACATATGATGCGTGTAGCATTGATTTCTTACTTGCACGTGTGTAACTATAATCGATCTGACCTATTTAAAATAGGCTTAGTAAGATGCATGTGAAAGTAAAAAGAAATATTATACAAATCACATATATTTATAAATTGTAATTTTGTTATAATATATTTCAATAAAACACATCAAATGAAAAAAGGACTATTATTATGTTTAAATATAATTCTTAAATCAATTTATAATTTATATATCGGTTTACTATTTTCAGCGTATTTTATTCTAATTTCAATTCGATGTTTTTTTATTGTACAGTTTGAAAGATCTATATTCTAAAACGTTCTGTTAAGAATTAATAATAATTTCTAACATATAACAAACAAATTTGAATTTAAAAAATTTTACTGATTCGATTTCTTGTATAAAAGAGAAAGCATAATCAAAAACGTAATTTAATAATTAAATCAAAATAACTGCGTTCAAATTTCGCTTTTATCGTACTCGCGTAATATTTATTCTTAAAGAAAATAATTATTATTACTTTGTACTTTTTTGTCTTTTACATTGTTATTTCATAAAGTATTGCATTTTTCTTATTTTCTTTTTTTATACTTCCAAATTTTATAAAATACCAATTTGTTTAAATTTAAAGAAACTTTTAATAAATTCTAAATTAAAGATAAAAAAACAAAATTTATTAAGACTACAATCTAACATCGTATTTTTATTTTAATCTTTTATTTTCACCCCGTATTCAAAGTGATGTTGTTAAGTATATATAAATATATTATATATGTATATATAACTTTAACAAATTTTGCGTATTTTTAAAATAATTTTTTTAATAAATTTCACAAAATTTATACAAGAATAGTTTTGTTAAAATCGTTAATGTGTTTTTAATAGCACAGAAAAACACTACACAGAATCTACTTCACGATCTAGTAAACGCTAAAAAGTTCTGTTCTGCACGCAGACCCAACAGAGACTGCATAACTGAACCCGAACGTACTATTATTTACTCAGTCTACTGATTGTTGGTAAAGAGGAGACTCTATATGTATCGGTATATTCCGCTCATAGTTCGTATTTTATGACATTGAATATGTATAAGAAATATTTTATATGAACAATTTTCAAATAATTTTCTAAATGATACGAGCCATATGTAACTAAAAAAATTATAAAAAAAGTTTGCTTTATACTTTTTAGAGTAAGTAAACCAAAAAAATAATCGTGATTAAATGTAGAAATTAAAATAGACATTTAGCCTAATGTGTCAATGCTGAAAATCTATCAGCGTCGCGGGGGGGACTACATACGCAGTATATAAAATTCACACAATTATAATAAGCACTGCGATCCAGCTTCGACCGTTACGGCTTTCTCCATCTAATTTGTTGATTTAGCCTAATGTTTCAAATTATAATATAATATAATTATAATATACGAGAATATATAAATTATAATATAAAAGAAGACCAGGACTATAATTAACATTTTTTGAAAAAGCAGCTATATGTTTTGAATCTAGAAATTATTTAGATACATTGTTTTTTGTATATATATATACATATACGTGATAGTAAGATCATTTAGTTAATACATAAGCGAGGATTTTTTTAAATCAGAGATAGCATATTGTTTCTTATTATATTAATCAAAGTTTTTGATTTAATAAACTTATTTCTTAATTAAACATAGTTACTCATTATGATCAGAATAACAATTAATATAAATAAATGAGGTAGCATTCCTCTACCGCATATTTCTCTCATATAATTTTTCATTCTAAAAACAAAAAAAATAAAACTACACTATGTTGTTTGACTTAAACATTATGTTACAAGACTAATCGCGAAGTAATTATTAACAGTGTTAACACTTACCTCTGAAATCCGTGTTAATATATGTCTCATTACAAAATATTTATAAAATTAATTAAATTCATCAAAAATTAGTAAAATAAGATTTAAAATAAGATAGAGAACTAGAAACAAATTAATGTTAAAGTTATATAAAACAAATTGAAAGAAAAACGATAAATTTAGGCAAAAATTAAAATTTAAGCATTCGGAAATTTTAGGTTACCTGATAAAAACGCAGCACACACTACCTTCTCGCACGACGTCTAGCGAGACAATACGTATCCTTGACCAGTTTTATACGGAACAAAAAAAAGTCTGGATCTGGAATGGAGCATTTAGAACGGATGGTAGGGGAGAGTTGTCAAATGTGTTCTGGTCACCTGAATCATACCTCATCAATATTTTATAGATATTATTACTTAATATCAGTGGTGTAGGCCTAAAAAAAAAGAACCCTAGCGGTCTGGCGGATGCTTTGAGCGTACAATTGCCAAGGCTTTGAAACACCAATCTATACATGGCGAAAGGAGGTACCAAAAAAGAAGGTATATGCAAATCGTAAGCATAAAACTGAGTATGTTCAAGTTAATAAAGCAACTTATCATAACCTGCTCATCGAACAAATTAGCTGCTTATAGATCCAACCAATCGTATTCAATCGCTCAGCAAGCATGTTTAGCCACTTTGCCACCTTGAACTCACCCACTGCTGCGTAATGCATAACGTATGATACATAAGAAGTTCAATCAATTAGAGTTTTTTATTTCATGGAAAGAAAGGGAACAAAAGACTTCGATTGATACATTTTCGTATGCATTATCGTGTCATGCGTTATGCAAAAGTATGTGCTCCCCACTTTAATTTGTACCCCTATTAATTATAACTCCTGTATCTCCTACGTTATACTAGAGACTCTGTAATACAAGTCGCGACATGAGAAAACCGCATTTTGATTGATCCGGCATGTTTTAACAATTCCTGTCTATATTTAAGTACTTATATTCGTATGTGTTATTCTTAAATTTCAACAATATAATTAAAATTAATTATTTTAAATAATAGATTTCTTACATTATTACATGTTGCATTACATCTTACAGAGAAAAGAATTTGCAGTTGCAGACATACACGTCCAATTTTTCACATTATTTCCCCAACATCTTTCGTTAACATTTTTCGCTTATAAATTCGCTTATATACACGACATTCGGCATTTCGAGGAAATACTTTCATT